AATCACAGCGTGTATTCCCATTGAGTCTTAGTCTTAGAAGGGGGTTTGCACTGAGGGGACCCGACCACTTGCCTTGATGTTTCCTGGGCAAGTAAGTTGCTTGTTCTTGTAGTAACAGTCAGTCTGCCTATGTTGTTTTATCTTTTTCCTGTAGGTCTTTCTCATAAATTGATTCTTACGAGTGTTACAGAGTTGAACTGTTCCACAGATTGCCCAACCTTCCTACCACAAATGGTTCTTGGTGGTTTTATACCACTAACCTTTAAATTAGCAGGGAAATGCAAACCTTTTGTGCCACTCAAAACCAACCTAAAACAGTTCTGTTGCCATCAAGTTGATCTCTACTCACAGCAACCTCATCTGATGGAGTAGAACTGCCCTGTAGGGTTTCCAAGGTTTTAATCTCTACGGCAGCAGACTGCCACATCTTCTGCCCACGGAGCAGCTGGTACGTTCAGGGTGCTGACCTTTCAGTTAGCAGCCAAGTGCGTAACTACTGTGCCACTCAGGAACTTTTTTTTAGATATAAATAATATTAACATGATTCCTGTTCCCCTCCCTGCCTCATGGAGCTTTACCTCTTGTAGAAAAAATATGGACATAACTTAAAATAGAATGAGTTCTGTAGCGATACCATATTAGTGTTATTTACTGTTGTATGGTTTTCAGAGATTTTCTCCATTTCATTTGAGTCATCTCTATGGTATAGTATGGATTGGTAATTCCCACTGTAAAGGTGAGAAAATGGAGACATTGAGTGGCTTACCCAAAAGTAAGAAGCCACAGTTTCAATAACAAAGGAACAGAAGAGACTGTTACTGCCATTTGGGGAAAACAAAATGCTTTTGAGATTTATGTGGTAGATGACTTGGGTAATTTTTCAGGAAACAAGTTCAATTTCTGTGTTTGTGACTTGAAAATACTGAATGAGAACAACTTTTGCCTTCCTAATTCTACCTCAGTGCTTTTGAGTGTTTTGAGAGTGGTAGACTTCTGTAACCAAGGAGCCCTGGTTGTGCAGTGATTAAGTGCCCATCTGCTAACTGAAAGGCCAGTGGTTTGAATCTACAGTGGTTCGTGGGAGAAAGATATGTTGCTCAGCTTCCGGGAAGCTTACAGTGTTGGAAACTCTATGATGCATCTCTGCTCTGTCACATAGGGTCACTATGAGAGTGAATTGACTTGGTAGCACACAACAGTTACATCTCTTAGAAGTGGTGTTTTTTAATTTTTATGTTGCGTATCTAGATTTTCTAAGGCGCTCTGGTAGTGTAGTTGTTACACATCAGGCTGCTAATCTCATGGTCAGCAGTTCGAAACTACCAGCTGTTCTGCGGGAGAGAGATGAAGCTTTCTGCTCCCGTACAGATTTACAGCCTCGGAAACCTTGTGCAGGGTTGCTGTGAGTCAGAACCGACTCCACGGCACATAACAACAACAACAACATCTAGATTTTCTAAAATCTCAAAACTTTTATTCTGAAATTGTCAGAGATTCATCATCCCCCCTCTTTTCTACCCACACCGTCACCTCTGTCTTCCTCTTGCCTGTAGCTTTTGCGAGAATTGAAGCACCCGAATGTGATCGCATTGCAGAAGGTGTTCCTTTCTCACAGTGACCGGAAGGTGTGGCTCCTGTTTGACTATGCAGAGCATGATCTGTGGGTAAGTCTAAATGACTAGAGTCAGCATTCTTTTGTAATGCATAATGTCTGTTTGGGAAGTAGGTGTGGAGACATAAATGTATGTGATAGCATATTGCTGATTCACAGAAAGGAAAGCTTACTCTGTTAAGAAGAAATGTAATAAATCTACAATAGGTTTTTCTTTTTTTGCATAATAAGCATTAGCATTTTACTTTACTGAGAGTATAGTGCATTGTGAACTCCTGGTGTGGCCCTGTGAGTTAATGCGCTGCACTGCAAAGTTGGTTTGAACCACAAGGTTGGCAGTTCAAGCTCACCAGCAACTCTTTGGAAGCCCTGTACAGGGTTGCTATGGGTTGGAAGTGACAGTACAATAGTGCATTATAACCTGCAACAGCCAGAACTCAAAGAAACTGTCTTGTTTTTCTGGGTCTTACAAATTTTCCCTCTTTGACAGATTGCAGTCTTCCCACTATTGCCCTCTATTAGTGGAAACTATTGGAGTTTACCCTCTCTAACAGGTTTCTGCCTGACATAAGTTCTGGCTTTTGCAGGTTGCACTGTAATTGTAATATTAAGAAAATTACAATATGATTTTATGTAAATAATGACAGTGTACTACTCTGTATTGTGAAAAATTACTTCTTTGGTGGTACATACAGTAGTTGAAATTTAACCAGTTACATATTTGTGAATAGTTTCTCTAAGTTAAGGTGAACTTGCTGTAGCATTTTGCTATTTCAAAATAGCACCACCAAATTGGTTTTGCAAATTTTAAGGATATTTTATCTCAGTATATGAAAGAAGCAAAGATTCTGTTTCCTATCTTTTTAAGTTAGTAATCAGGACATTTAAATATTTTGTCAGAGGAATTGCTAACAGTTAAAAAAAAAAATCAAACTTGGCAATATGTTCAAATTATGGAGAACTAAATTTTGATTAAATATTGTGTGGTTTGTCATCTGTGTAAATGATAAATCTGTTTAGGACTTACTTGAACAGACTCATAGATCTGGAACGAACTTTCTGAGTTTATGCTATTAATGTAAATATTGTTATGAACCTCCAGTGTTTCGCTCAATTCTTGGATATCCAGGAATAATTGCATCACCCCCATTTTTCTTGATTTATGGTACTGCCAAGATTTATTTGATAATGTGTGTACTTTACTGTGAACATCGGTGATAATGCTTGTCTCAAAGATGTAACACATTAGACTAGTCAGATCCTGTTAGAACCATCTATCCAATTTGGTGACCACTAGCCACAAGTGAAGAGTCCTACAGTATTGCAGTTAAATGTTTGTTTTCTAACCAAAAGGTTAGCAGTTCAAACCCACCCAGCAATTCCACAGGAGTAAGACCTGGTGATTGACTCTTATTAAGGAATACCCAAACCAAAACCCATTACTATTCCAACTCAGTGACCCCACAGGACTGCCTCCTATAGTTTCCAAGGCTCTAATGTTTAATGAAGGAAACTGCTGTATCTTTCTCCTGTGGAGCAACTGGTGGGTTCAAACTGCCAACCTTTGTGGTTAGCAGTCAAGTGCTTAACCACTGTGCCACAAGGACTCCCTGTGGGTCAGTTCTCCCTGTGGATCCCTATGAGTTGAAATCAACTTGATAGCATCTAACATGTGGCTATTAAGTACTCGCAATGTGGTTGGTCCAAATTGAGATGTGTTATAAATGTGAAATACCTACTATTGATTACATATTGAAATGATAATATTTTAGATATATTGGGTTCATTAAAATGTTAAAACTAATTTAAAATGTTTAATTGTCTTTTTTAATGTAATTGTTAAAAAATTATAGTTACATATGTGGCTTCCATTATGTTTCTGTTAGACAGAGCACTTCTATGGTATAACCACAACTTTCCTATTTTTAAAAATCAAGTGAATGCTGTTGAAAAAATTTATTTAAAAAATCCAACTGTATAAATAGTCTAATACTTGTTTGATACCAGTTGATCATTTTAAGACTAGTGAAGCACTGTTAATGCAGCCTTGCTTGTGCAGTGGTTAAAACTTTTGACTGTTAAGCCAAGAGGTCAGCGGTTCAAACCTACCAGCTACTCCATGGTAGAAAGATGTGGCAATCTGCTTCTGTAAACTCTGATGCCTCAGAAACCCTGTGGGGGCAGTTCTGCTCTGTAGAATTTTCCCAGTAATTACACATAGTTGGTGATATTACCCAAATGTACTAAGTACATTCTAAGTTTTTAAAGACTAGTAAAGATATTTATGGTAAATATATTTACGGTAGGTTTGTTTTTCTCCCTCCTCTCATTCTGTCAATAGAGATTACTTTTGACCAAGTGAGATACTTTATGATTTATTTGTAAAGAGATTACTGGAGAGTTCAGTAACTATGTGGTCTGTGGAGCACAAATACTGCTGATTTTGAATATGTTTTAAAATGATAAAAACTATAAACATAGGATTAATTTAATTAATTTAATTCAGTGCTCTGTAAACCTTCACTCAATTCACAATAAAAAGTTGAAACTAAAAAATAATAAAAATAGGATTCAACTAAAACATTATTACAAAGGACCCCTAAATCTCTTGCCCAGAAATAATCTTTGGGCCTGGAACCAAAATTAACCAAAGAGGTCATCATTGGACTAAACAGCAGTTTGGCTTGATTGGTAAAGAATGTTTGTCCTTTTGTGTTGTGTTCTTAGGAAGAATTATCATATGAGGTCAAGCTGACAACAAACAGTTCATCTAAAGCACAAATGAGAAGTTTAGCAGGCAGAGTCAGAATTCCTGTGATACAGCAACATGGGTAGAGATAGTGAGAAGAGTCACACATTGTGGAAGATGTAGCCATTGTCATTGAACTGCGCATGTAGATGTTGTGAATGTATGCGTGTTTGGTGGTGTATGTAGTTGTTGTGTTTCATTGAGTGGGTTCCAACTCAGAGTGACCCTGTGTAGGCTTTCGAAGGAGCAGCTGGTGGGTTTGAACTGCATACCTTGTAGTTCACCGTGCAGCGCTGATCCTACAGCACCACACCACGACTTACCATGCAAATTAAAATTTAGAAGAGTAAGATATAGAAATAAAACTTTAGCAAAATGTTATTACAAATAACAGGAGGCAAATATTTATGTGTGAAGTGTTTTCTTGCCTTGAACTTTCATATCTGGACATGTTTTTTGAATTGGGTATTTCCTTAGGAACAATTTATTGAATTATAAAACTAGATGAAGTATGAGCAGGTAGTCTGATATCTATTTTTTAGGCAGACTTGTAATATAGACTCTTTTAATTATAAATCCCGTTACTCTTTGTTTCTGTTTTCATAAAAATCTTAGCCAAGTCTAGACTATACCCTTGATTGCAGTTTTGGTTGATCTTATTATTCAAACTATTTTTGATTTTGTTGTCATTGGTGTTTAATAAGTAAGTTAAAAATAATAGAGAATTTATTGTATTGTGTTTTATAACACAGATATTTAGCAATGACTATACATGACTATAATATGTTTTATTTTTTAAATTTCTAGCATATTATTAAGTTTCACCGTGCATCAAAAGCAAATAAAAAGCCCATGCAGTTGCCAAGATCCATGGTTAAATCATTGCTTTACCAGATTCTTGATGGTATCCATTACCTCCATGCAAATTGGGTGCTTCACAGAGATCTGGTAAGTATGTTTCTTTTGATTTGATTAATATTTGTGTATATATACATATATATACTTAAAAATCTTTTTCTTAATATAACATAATAAAACAAATTGTAGAAAAATTTTGAAGTTACTTATAAATTAAAAAAAAGGTAGAAATCACCAATAAACCTACAATCCACAAATTACCATTACTGACATTTAGTCTTTATCCTCTCATTATGTTTATACATAGTTATAAAAATGTCACTGTAAGTTTTAAACAGTAATTCATATTATTTTAATGGGGCAACTAAATGTGAAATACATGTACCTGTGTTTTTTCCTTCCCATTACTATTGCTCATCATTAGTAAAAATGTTACTAATTAAAGACGGAATTCACATTGTTTTTATATTCAAGATCTAAACTGAAATATTGATATTACATCTGGTATAAAGGATGTTGTTATCAATAATAAAAGAATGAGTAAATCTAATAGAATATACTTATTAGGCAAATTAGCCACTATTCAAATGGTTGATTTTGCTTTTTAAATTCAGTATATATATATAAGACAAACATGTATTGATACCAAATTATATGCTAGATATTCACCTTAACATTGTTGTCATTTTGGTTTCTGTTGATAAGATTTTGATTTGTTTTTAAGGAGACATGGGTGTTGAACAGCTGTAATGTCCATGAATTATAATTGGAATTTTTATTTCGCCTCCCCAAAGTGGATTTTAATTATAGGGCTATGTAGAGCTATGTCTTGGCTTATTCTAGTTATATTAACTGGGGAGAACTGATTATTATGGAAGGGAATGGATGCTTAATGAAATCTAGTTAATATTCCTTAGTCCATTGTCACTTAGACCTAGTCATCTGACTTGACCACCTCTTGCTATTGACAATGAAGTTAAATTGGGGCCAAATGACAGTGAGCACTTACTGTTTCAACAAAAACATTTCATTTTATGATTTTCAATAATAAGATCCTCAAAGACTTCCAAATATTATTCATCATGAATCAGCACTGTAAAAATAACTCAAGGGTACATGTGTGTATTAGAGATCAGGAGAAGGCATCCTTCATAAATATGCTTTTAGAGTTTTAATTTGTTGTGCATTTAATGTATTTCATGAGAGTTCATGATCGTGTTTGAATCATTGATCAAAATCTTTAATTGAGTATTAATGAATCTGAGTTTTTCGCCACCACCCCCCCACCAAAAAAACCATCCTGTCTTTTCTTATAGTCAGCATAGTTTAATACATTTTAGTCAAGATACTGTCACCTGAATGCCCACTGGAAATAAAACGTGGCGTGACCAGGACTCATTTTTCTCCTGTCCAATCTTCTTGCTGCTTTGGTTGTTGTTGTTGTTAATACCACTGAGTCAGTTTTGACTCACAGGGACCCTGTATAGGGTTTCCTGGGAGCATCTGGTGGGTTTGAACTGCAACATTTTGGCTCAAAGTGCAGAGCAGTGCCACACCAGAACTCCATACTGCCCTCTATTTTGGTGGTGGTACACCCTCTACCTGGCCTGGAAGTTTATTTTACCACTGCAGACCTTCCTTTGCATTCCACATCCAGAATTTGTCAAGTGTTGTTAGTTTCATGTCTGAAACATCTCTTCCATTCATCTGTTTCCATCCCAGTACCTCTTTGCTACTTCAGACCTTTATTACCTCTTTCTTGGATTGTGGTGTTAGCCTCTTACTTGTCTCCTATCAGCAGTCTCTTTCCCCTCTAGGCCACTTTGACCTTCTGAGTAATTGCTAAACTCCTGCTCAAGAAATGTGAACTAGCTCCTTATTGCTTACAGACAGAGCTCTAGTTCCTTGTTTGGCTTCTAGATATGCTATCAGCCGCCTTTTTAAAAAAATTTCTTTATCTCCAAACTAGATTATTTTATCTCTTTCCCTTCCTCCTTTATAGCTGCTGTTGTTATTAAATGCCTTTTAGTTGGTTCTGACTCATAGCAGCCCTGTATAGGATTTCTAAGAGTGGTAGGTGGGTTTAAAATGCCGACCTTGACTTACCTTCCGTGTAACCTGAAGTGCTACACCAGGAGTCTTATCCTGCAGTTCCACACCAGGAGTCTTCATAGATGTGCTGAGATAAAATTCATATTCCATAAAATTTATCCACTTAAAGTGTGCCATTCACTGTTGTTGTTAAGTGCTGTGGAGTCTTTTCTGACTCATAGCAACCCCGTATAGGGTTTCCAAGGAGCAGCTGGTGGGTTTGAACTGCTGACCTTGCGATTAGCAGTCCTACAGGGTCACAATTCATGCAATTCGCTATTTTTTAGAATACGCACAGATAGTTACAACCACCACCAGAGTCAAGTTTGAACATTTTCATCACATCAAAAAGAAACCCCATACACTTTTAGAATCCTCCCTACCCTAGCACCTAGTCCTAGGCACTGCTAATCTACTTTGGCTTTATTGGTTCCCTATCTGCTTGGAATTCTACGTGTGGACTTTTGTTATTGGCTTCTTTCACTTAGCAAATGTTTTCAAGGTTCATCCATGTTGTAGCATCCTTTATTCTTTTTATGGCTAAATAGTATTTTACTGTATGAATTATATGGATATACCACATAGGATGAGCACTGGCCTGCAAACTACAGGTTGGTGGTTCATATCCATCAACTGCTCTTTGGAAACCTGTACAAGTTTGTTATGATTTGTAATCAACTCGATGACACTTACAACAATAACCACATGGATATTTTGCTTATCCATTTAGACATTTGGGTTGTTTTCACCCTTTGACTGTAATGAACAACACTACTATAAACATTCCTATACGTTTTAATTTCTTTGGGTACCGATATATTGCATTAGGCAAATGTGCTGCACAAGACCTTTTTGAAGTGTTGAAAGCAAAGATGTCAGCTTGAGGACTAAGTTGTGCCTGACCCAAGCCATGGTATTTTCAGTAACCTCATCTGCATGTGAAAGCTGGACAGTGAATAAGGAAGACTGTAGAAGAATTGATGCTTTTGAGTTATGGTGTTGGAGGAGAATATTGAAAGTGCTATGGGCTGCCAAAAGAACCAAGAGATCTGTATTGGAAGAAGTGCAGCCAGAGTGTTCTTTGGAGGCCAGGATGGCCAAACTTTGACTCTCATACTTTGGACATATTGTCAGGAGGGACCAGTCGCTGGAAAATATATCATGTTTGGTAGGGTGGAGGGTCAGAGAAAAAGAGGAAGACCCCTAGTGAGATGGATTGGCAAAGTGGCAGCATCAGTGGGCTCAAGCATGGCAACAATTGTGAGGTTGGTCCAGTGTTTCGTTTTGCTGTGCATAAGGTCGCTATGAGTCGGTACCGACTCGATGGCACCTAACAACAACAACAACATATCCTAAGAGTAAAATTGCTAGGTCACCTGGTAACTCTAACCTTTTGTAGAACTGCCAGACTTTCCAAAGCATCTGCACAATTTACATTTCTACTAGCAGTATTTGAGAAGTCCAATTTCTCTATATCCTCCTCACCAACATTTATTATTATTTGACTTTTTTTTCTAACCATCTTAGTGGGTATGAAGTGGTATCTCATTGTGGTTTTAATCTGTGTTTCTGTGATAACTAATGATGTTAGGCCTCTTTTCATGGGTTTATTGGTCATTTGCATATCTTTTTTGTGTTATGTGTTTTCTTATTGTTGTGTTATCAGAGTTCTTTTTATATTCCAAATACAAATCCCTTATCCGATACACGATTTTCAAATAATTTTTCATTCTGTGGGTTGTCTTTTTGCTTTTTTGATGGTATGGTGTCTTTTGCAGCAAACACATTTTTAATATTGATAAAATTAAACTTATCTATTTTTCCTTTGCTTTTGATGTTATAGCTAACAGTCTTTTGCCAAATCCTAGGTCATAAAGATTTACCCTTAAAAGGAAGTCAACTGGAATTCTGACAGAGATCACATTGAATCTATAGGTTCATTTAAACAGTATAGCCATCTTAACTATATTAAATGTTCTGATACATGAACATGAGATGTTCTTCCATTTATTTAGATTTTCTTCATTTCAACAATATTTTAGAGTTTTCAATATTTAAGCTTTCCTATCCCCATCATCTTTCACATACACCATACTCTAGGTTTATTGATTTATTGTTCACTGTATCCTCGTGTTTTCCTGACTACTTAAAACCCTTTATCCTTGTCTTTACATATGTCTTTTAGGACTCAGAATAAATATTAAAACTTACCCAGATACCCTTCCCTATTTGGAGATAATCATACCTTCTGTTGATTCTTGTTACAGTTCATTTTTATTTCTCTTATGACTTATGTCTCTTAGCATAAATACCTTAGATTCTCTTCTAGACCATAAACTTCTTGAGAAAGCTGGATATATTTAATGTAAGCTCATTGCTGTACACCACGTGTGGCACTGTGGGTTAGTGTGCTGGACTACAAGGTCAGTTTAAACCGCAAGGTCGGCATTTTAAGTTCACCAACCGCCCCTTAGAAAGAATATACTATACAGGGTTGCTATGGGTCTGAACCGACTTGACAGCACTTAATAATAACAACCACCCCTGTATGCAACAGATGCTGAGTAAATGTTTCCTCAGGTAATACCAATAAAAATATTAGTTTAGTATTAATGGATTCTTTGTCTTTGGCTCAAGTAACATAATATATATCTGAACACACTGTCTCCAATATACATTTATCATTTCCTTGTTTGTGCAAATCTAGGAGAGTTGGTGACAGTACAAATATGACTGCCTCAAAACCTTCTCAAGGAGCTTACGGTCTGAGATGAATATGACACATACAAGGGGGTTTCTAAAAGTTCACGGAAAAATCCCCTTCTATTTTAATTCCATTTGTTCATGAGCTTTTTGAAGCCCCTCCATACACAAGCGATTATGATATTAGATGGATGAGAGAGAATGTGATCATGGCCAAAGTGAGAGATGCTGACTGAATGCCACTCAAAGACAGACGAGGTTCTGAATAGGAGAGTAGGGAAAGCATTGGCAAGCAG